AATTAATGAGTTTAGGCTTTCAACCACTTCTTTCACAGTCATTTCCGACGATATTGCAATATAATTAGATACTGATTGAACTTTGTGTTTAACTCAAAATTCCTCTTACAAAAGAACTTAGAGGTATAGAATAAAAATATTTTCTTCAGCAAGTAAATAGTCATTACACTTCAGTGTGCTAGCTGCACATGCTTTCAGAAAATCAAGGGGTCAAGTAATATAATCGAAACTCGATGGTTAACACTGATAAATACCTAATGTACAAAACATACATATGAAGAAAATGACAATTCGAAAGTATGATCTATTGCTTCAGTTTTGGAACAAGGAGCCAAAAATTGTAGTTACTTTTCAAAGGCGAACGATCTATCACATTACAGCGAGATAGAGGGGTAGGATGAAAACAACAGTCACTCGTCAATGGACTACTTTGCAGTTTTTCTTTGATCAGGTACCGCAACCGCCTTTTCAACAATGAAAAAGTAAGCCAATTCCATGATGTAGAATCTAGGATGAATACCCTGGATTATAATGAGGACTTACCGCAAATTTTTAGAGGGGCCTCCAATTCGAGCAGTATAGGTTGGCTAAGGAAGATCTCGCGTGACTTTATGCATAATCCCTTGATTTCATTTTCCGTTAGTTGTACATTTTTGCCAGGTTTGGATCCTCGTACTAAAATGGTTAAAACTAATTTTTAGGCTATTAGAGAACCAGTCGCACAGTGAGTATGAAAAACAAGAGTTTTCCAGAGCATATTTTCAAAGCAACTTTTTGAATAAAATCCCAAAAGAACGGTAAACATAGCAAGTAAATCAATAGGAGTAACAAAGAGCAATACATCGGCTGAAGTTTTTCTATTGATTTTCAAAAATTTGACCAGTTGAACCGCTAATGATAGTGAAGCCATATTTTATAAGGTCCTAATTAAATAAGATAAGCTGATGAAGCTATATGAATAAGTTAAATGCACTGATGCTCGTTTTCAAATCTCATGAAAATCCATCCTCGGTGCATTGCACACAACCCTCCAACTTGACTATCCTTTGACATTAGATCCATGAGTGAGGCACCAAAAAAAAATCAAGGTAATTTAAGTCGGGAGATTAATGGTTGATGTTCTATACATCAATTTGTCAAAGCTTGATTTTTTGTATAGCAACTTCCTGGATCCAAAACATTTGGCAGAAAATAAAATCAATGCAAACCTCCAATCATTGGGCAATCCACTAAAGA